CTTCAGTAAATGTCTTCTTAGATTTATGTGACAAGAACATGTCAACTAAAGCCATGTTCTTATTCTTGATAACCAAAGTACGAGCAGAATTCCCTGCCCTGTCCCTGATTAATGTGTCTATATCACGTTTCAGTAACTCTCTAGCCACTTCTATTGAATTAGCTTGACATGCTATCATGAGTAAACTCCAACCATAGGTACTCATCTACAATGTTTATTTTGTCTGGCGTGTTATCTAATATCCGTATTAGAGTGTCAACATCGTTATTTTGGGCTGACAAGAACAAATCTTTACCTGTCAACTCTGTAACACTGAAATGTCGACGATTTTCAATTTTATGTATTACATTTGTTTTGGGTTTTTCGTATAAATCGTTTATAGCAGGTTCAGAATCTATGACATCTACGACTTCTTCTAAATACAGTCTCTTAGCTTGTTCGCCATTTAGTGAAGGCTTGTGTTTTGGTCTTTGTTCACTCGAGGACGGTCTCACGAAGTTACAATACTTGTCAGACATGTTTTACAAGGTCTACTTTAAAAAGAGAATGGTGGGACATATCAAAATGTAGCGTTATTTCAAAGACAACTAACATTAAACAAAAATTCAAATAATTCACGACTCCATTTAACTAAAATATGCTATAATTATATAAATCTTTCTAATTTGTGATACCATTGATACTATGACAGCTGGACAGATTAGTCAGTGTGACAGTTGTAGAGTTGTTATCAAAAAACCGTAAAACTTTAATAGGGTAAAAGACTTTCGGTTTATCAAATCTCACGCCCAAGAACAAGTTAAGCGCAACACTTAAAGCGCCCCGTATACGATCAAGTAATTTATCTTTATCCTTCAAACTTCACGTTTTCTTCAAACGATCAAATAAGTATGACATACTTGCCTGTAGTTCACACTCGGTGATCTCCTTGTACAAGTCGTACCGTAATTCTTTCTAATTTGTGCAGTGAGCAAGAATACAGATAAAGTGTTTCTAGCATTAACTCAATCATGTATTATTAAATCTTATCTTTTAGCTAGGTATTAAAAAAAAGTCTAGAAATTGATCCTTGCGTCCCCTAGATGATGGATGGGGGGAAGGTCGATAGTACAGCCTAGTCTTATTTAGGGTAGGGGCCATGTATCAACTAAACATGGTTGTCATCGGCATAGGTTGACATCGCAGCACTACAAGAAGTTCGATGAGTGACTTCGAGGGCAGTGCAATTCTGTTTTATAGCGGCGATGTCAACAGGCAACATCGTAATGGTACTGGTTTTATAGTGAATAATAAAGTGACTGAAGTGAAGCAATATTTCGAAATTTGAAGCTATATCTGATAGAATCAGTGTATTGCGCGTGAAGACCAAGTTCTTCAACATCACGATGGTCAATGCTTATGCTCCGACAGAAGTATCAGATGAGGAGGGTGAAGATTGCTTCTATGAAGAACTAGAAGTGGTGGTCGATCAGATTTCCGAATATGATGCTAAGATTGTAGTTGGAGATTTTAATGCGAAAGTTGGATGGGAGGAATTGTTCCTTCTCACAACCGGCTTACACAGAAAATATAAAGTTATAAATGAAAATTGTCAAACATACGGCTCAAACGAACAATATATAAATACAGAAATTTTAAAAGATATCTCCATTCGTAAAGAATTTGAAATTGAATTGAATAATAGATCCAAGGGATTAGAACTACAGGCATAGAAGAGGCACCTTTCTTTCACCACGTTTTTCGTTTCTTCTCAAGAAACGAAAAACGTGGTGAAAGAGTTAGGCCTAAAGATCCTTGGGAGAAGAAAACGTAATAAGAAACGGAAATGGTGGACAGGAGGATGCGAAACAGCTTTAGAAAAAAGGTAGAAGTATAAAATGTTGGCCCTTCAGGATAGCAGATGGAATGGAAACCATGAGGAGGCACAAAAAGGACTCAGGAAATTAATTAGGGAGACGAAAAGGAAAGAATCAGAAAATAAACTTACTGCAATGGACACTTTACAAAACCGAGCGAGTCGCGCAAGTTCTTTCAAGAAATAAGAACTATAAAGAAGGGCTACCGACCTATCACTCAGGTGATCGATGACGGTAAAGGAAACCTAATCCCAGGACCTGAAGCGCGGGGATCTGGGAGCGATTATGAGGCTAAAGAACAAATAAACAGGGGGATGATGGAATAGGAGAACTGTGGAAATATGGCGGGGGTGCAGTGCAATCAAGACTTTATGAGATAATTATTGTCGAAGACAATGTTCCAACTATCGGGGTATTGCACTGCTCCTAGCGGCGTACAAAATTCTCTCCTATGTACTTCTGGGCCATTTAGAGCCCTTTGCCGAAAATATAGGAGATTATCAGTGTGGCTTTTGACATAATTATAAGTGCTATAATTATGTCAAAACCAACACACTGACCAAATATTTCTCCTGAAACAGATTGTGGAGAAGAAGTGGGAGTATGCACATAGTATTCGTTTTCTGTTCGTGGACTTCGCGTAATTATTATTATATGATAGTGTGGACTGAGACGTACTCTTTTAGATGCTAAATCCTTCAAAATACCGCTCAAATTAACTAAGATGGTGGAGGTTGTTACCAAGTATAGTAGGATGAGGGTTAGGGTAGGCTCAAGTGTTACCGAAGACTTATTAAGGTGTTGACAGGCCTCAAGTAGTGGGACGCGCTGTCTCCGATGCTGTTTAACTTAATACTCCAACACGTCATAGCAAAAGTGATTGATGTTGATGGCGGAGTGGAGTTGAATGGCACTCATAAAATAGTAGGGTACACCGATGACTTGGCATTGCTCAGGCAGCGCGAGACTGAATTGAAAGCCATGGTAGAGGTGTTGGATGTGGAAGGAAAGAAGGTCGGTCTCAAAATTAACCGTGAGAAGATAGAATACTTTCGTATGAGACGATACAAAAATACACGAGAGGAAAGAAAAGACCTTCATGTGAAAGATACCATCTACAAAGGGGTTCCCAAGTTTAAAAACTTGGGATGTTCTGTAACAGACACCAATCAAAGAGAAGACGAAATTAACATCCAGATTCGGCTGCTCTTCACAAGGTTCTGGTGTCCAAGCACATTCGCAGTAAAACGAAGATCCGTGTCTACAAAACTGTAATTAGATCGATCTTGATTTACGGTTGCGAAGCTTGGACACTGACCTTGAAAAGGAAAATAAGTTGTTCATGGCAGAAAGAAAAATCTTACGGAAAATTCTGGGACTGACTCAAAGGGAGGATGGGAGCTGGAGGGCAAGGAAGTACCTTAAAATTGAACATCTAAAGTCCGAGCCCAATATTGTGGGAGAAACAAAAGCTGCGAGACTCCACTGGCTCGGACACGTGGAGAGAATAGGAGAAGATCGTGTCGCGAAAAGGGCTTACTTGAGACGACCGAAAGGACGCCGACCGGTCCGACGTCACAGGTTCCGCTGGAGCGATGAAGTCCTGAAAGATCTCAAGGACCTCGGTGCCAGTGGCTGGAAGGAGCAGGCTCAAGACCGGGAGAAATGGCAGACTCTGGTGCCGGAGGCCAACACCCACTTTGGGTCCACTACGCCACCGCAGTAAGTAAGTTGGTCTAGAGAATGGCTAAAATCAAAGAAAAATATACTCACGGTAATTTGTTACAAGTAATATTGCACATTTGTTGCGCAACGACGAACTATTGACGGTTGTTGTTGAGGGAAAGATGGAAGGAAGGAGACAGAGAGGAAGACCGAGAATGGCATTCTGTGACCAAATAAAAAGAAAGGTTAATGTGAGCAGTTACAGGGAGGTCAAGGAGTTGGCTATGGACCGTGAGGAGTGGAGGAGGCTACGCCGACAAGAGCATGGCTCTTAAATAAAATGAATGAATATTGCACACAGAACCAGATAGCTGACTACACGGAATCTAGCAAAATGATAGGTGATAACTGAAATTATGTTCAAACATATATATGTTTGTGAAACACGCCGTCAAGCTAGATTTCCATCAAACACGAGCGCAGACGATCAAAAAGTTTGACAAACACGTAAAAAATTTAAAATTAAATTATTTGGTAATTAAATCATCGGCGATTTAAATTCACCTTTGATGATATGATAAAAACGATCCAAGTCCAAAATGTCTTCACAGCTTGATGTACTCTTTGACTACCACATCGTAAACTTTTTACGCATATAAGCTCATTAGTCGTAAATAAATTGTAGTAAGCAATTAGAGTACCTTCTTTGGTAAATAAGAGAGATGGCGAAACTTCCGAGAGAAGTGAAATGGCTATAGTATGCGTAAATAGGGAATACATTCGAAACATACTTTTTTAGCAAAACTTGAATTAAAAAAAACTTAAAGTATTGTAGTATTATTGAAATAAATTAATTTGTGTTATGAAATAAAACATGAAAGCGACTCTTATTTCATTAAGTATATCTATGAAATGGAAACTCATCATCTTTCTCAAATTGCTAATAACAGATTGCAATATCAATAAACTCTTACTTTAAATGCATTTTCACAATGGATGTATTTAATGAAACAAATAAAATCAAAATGTGAATTTTTCGAGGTAACACGTTTGTCAATTATTTCTTGACTTGTAAGGAATTAAGTAAGGCATACAAGTAAAATGACCTACGATTCGGAAACAACAGACATTGACAACAATCACCATGGTATGATGTATCGGGCTGGACAGTTACCGTAATGCTTATAATTATTATTTTTACAAATTTGATCCTGGTACTGTTAAATGGAATAAAAATAATAATAATAACAAAAGGAACGTTATCTAGCAAAAACATGAAATTATATTTAATTTCATTACTTAAAAATGGACCTCTACTGAAACTAAAATCTACAGGTTCAGAATCGTGAGTATGTCTAGCTTGACACAGGATTTAAATTCAACTCTGACACTTCTAATAAGAACAGTCCAAAGGATCAAGCTATATGTGCCTTGACCGTATATAACTGCCCAGTGTCAACTCTAAAACTAAAAATACAACATAAACACTTGACTTATTAATTACTGTTACATTAATAAAAATTAATTATTTTGTTACGTCAATCTAGTTTTTTGCATTTATTTGTCACTGAGTTCCTTAGCAATCAACTTCAAAGCTTCAGTTTGTTCTTTCATTAGTTTAAGCTTTTGTCTTAGATAGTTCTTCTTAAAATTAATGTACTCTTCTTTTAATTCTACTTTTCTTCTTTCATGTACTGCTAAGAGATCACAGTTGAAAACACAGTTATTTGAATGCTTTGAACTGTGTTTGTACTTAGTTTGTGAATTGTTTTTAATTTTTTTTTGTGTGAAAACTTTTGGTTCAGGTGGGGACTCCGGTTCACTTATGGCTTCCATTTCTAAGTGGAAATTTTCTTCTTCATTATTTTGTTCTAGTTGTACAAACTCCGTGTTCTCCTGGTTATTAGTGTTGCTACTCGAAGACACATTTTTGAGGCCCAATGCCTCCTGTTCAGCCTGTGTGAGCATTACGAATGAAGGTGGGAACATTCCCTCAATTTCCTGACGTTTTTTAGCTTTTGAGCGAAGGTCTTGCCAAGTCTGTAAATAATAATTGGGATTTTAGTAGCAGATATTATTGGAGTCAGCTTATTTACAAGACAGCCGTGTTTTTCTTGTGGAAGAACAAGTTCCATTCTAGTCAGATCCAGAAAACTACAAAAAGATTTATCAATAAAAAAACATAAACCTTTCTCCACTGCCGCCAAGTCTTTTTAGAACCAGGTATAGCGTTGCACTCGTTTGCAAGGGTCTGCCACAGCCTTTGTGAGTCCCGGTAGTTAAATTCCGGAGTAACCTTACAGGATATCAGTTGAGGATTCTTTGAAACGAACTCAATCAGTTTCTTTTTTTGACGATAGGTTACTTGTACACCCCGCCGCCGTATTTTTCTATGCTCCATTATTTAATTACCGTCTTCATTGTTATATCTGACACATACGGCTGACGAATTTAAGATAAATTCTGTGGAAATACAGATTAACAACAACCAACAACCCCAAAAATCAGATTTTACTCGCGGATGTCAAATGAAATTAAATTTCTAGGCATTATCTCACACAAAATGAATGAAAGAGAGAACATTATACGTATTTTTAAAAGTTTATTTCACTCTTGTGTTCCTTAGCAATTTGTGTACAAAATAACTTCCTCACTAGAGTTGAACTTATCTTCAAACTTATAATTTAACTCTGTGAAAAGCGCGGGAAAGCTCGATTTAGGCGGGTTAATTTTTTCGGCTTAGAAATTGAATATTTAATAATAATTGTAATTAGGTGGTCAGGAGTGTAGTATTTGTGTAAATACTATTTATTTGATTGTATATATTGTTTTTTGTGTAAATAGTCATCGTCATCTGGTGAGATTTATTATTTTTCCTTTCGCCTAAAATGGACGAGCCCCCTGATCCAGGGGGCACAGTCCCCTCAGTTGAAACGTGATTATTGCCTCCAATGATTCCAGTATGGACACGGACCATACTGATAACTCTCTAAAAGGAAGAAAACGTATTCGGCAGCGTAAAATTTGCAAACATTGCAATAAGAAAAAACGTAGGTAAGCCTAAATCTCAATCAGACAATGGATGTGGTTGTTCAGATAGCGACATTTGCGGTACCAAGTTTAACAGTACTACAGAAGTTTTCTCGACGCCCCCATCATCTTCCCCGGTTCAGCCTGTTGCTGCTCCCATACCTACCCCTTCTACGAATACTAATACTACCCAGAAAGACCAGGATTTACCAGGCCGCCGATTGTTTGAGCATCAAGATATCTCTCCGTATGTAGTTCATGTAAAAAGATTAACCACTTCCTTTAATGACGGAACCTCTATACACCCAGTTCACTTTGGCAATTTTCTTAAAAATAATGGTTTTAAAAACATAATTAATGGTAGTGTGAAAAAGATTGGCAGGAACAGAGTTTCCCTATCCTTCTCAGACTTCCAGAGCGCTAATTTTTTCTTGAATGACACTAGTTTGGTAGCTAGCGATTACAAAGCTTTTATACCTACCTTCAGCATTACTAGAATGGGCCTAGTTCGTGGAGTTCCTGCAGACCTAACCCCCGAAGAAGTGAAAGAAAGTATGTCAGTTCCTATTGGTTGTGGAGATATTGTTAAGATAAGACGTTTAAACTATAAGGTGACTGTTGACAATCAAACTACGTGGAAACCCTTCCAAACTGTAGTTGTGACCTTTGATGGGCAAGTTTTACCAAAAAGAATATTTATGTTTTATAATGCTCTTCAAGTAGAATTGTACATCTTTCCAACTGTCCAATGCTATTATTGTTGTCGGTATGGACATACTAAATTGCAATGTCGTTCTAAGCCTCGATGTTTTAAGTGTGGGCAGGATCACTCAGGTGAATCCTGTTCTGTAGATGAAGGTGACGCTCAGTGCTGTCACTGTTCCGGGTCTCATTTAGCTACTAACAAGTCATGTCCAGAATATGAAAGGCAGAGGCGTATAAAAGTGTCTATGGCTCAAAATAGTATTTCTTATTCTGAAGCTTACAAACTTCATCCCGCCGTGACAAAGCCTTATGCTGATATTCTGGCTTCTCCACCTCCTCCACGTAGTTCTTTTACTTCCACTTCTCATAGTACTAATCCATCATCTTACAAAAAAACTGTCTTTTTAAAACCTAAAGACCCACCAAAGCAACGAACAGGCTATGATCAGAAAGCTCATAATGAGTTTGCTAAAGAATATAATAAGACCAATGAAAATTCTAGAGGAACAATGTTCAATTTAAATGATTATCACTAGTATCAGGTTTCTTACCACGGTATGACTTCTTTTTATTTTCCCGATATTTCGGAACGGTTGCACGCTCCATGGTCACGGGTTGACCATGGTCACGGGTTGACGGGCAGTCAACCCGTGATCATGGAGCGTGCAACCGTTCCGAATTATGAAAGTCTTAAAATCTATATAATGTTCAATTTTATTAATATGAGGGCATTCAGCCTTCCATAGTTGATATTATCTTTGATAAATCTATTATCCCAGTCTAATATGATAGTACCGTCCAACGTTGCTTGCTTAACTCAAAGTTTAAATGAAAACTAACATTCACTCCCAACGCAACGGTAATACAGTGGAATTGCCGAAGTATAGTAAATAAAAAATCTGACTTAATATATATTGTAAAGAAATTTAATCCTTTTATTATTTCTTTATCTTTATTGATTGTAAAAGTGCTCTGCAGTCATTATGTAAATTCCCTTTTAAATCAGGTAACATTTTCCCAATTATTTGTCAAATTCGTGAAGCTCTTTACAAATGCCATTCAAAGGGTCTTTATGTATTATTTGTGTGGATACCAAGTCACAGTGATATTAAAGGTAACGAGAGAGCCGATATCTTAGCTAAAGATGCAGTAAATAACGGTGATGTAGATTTATATAGAAACTTTACTTTACTTTACTTCAGTCATCACAAGAATGAGATTAGGACATACTTGCTTATCTGAACATCTTGCTAGACTTAATATAATATCTGATTCAATGTGCGAATGCGAACAAGACATTGGCAGTCTGAACCACCTTTTCTTTTCCTGTCCAAGATATGACCGTGCTTCATTTTTTCAATCTATAATTTCTTTACAAATTCCTTTACCAACATCTATTCCTCTGTTATTATCGTATAATAATTATTCCGTTTACAATGTTTTGGCTCAGTTTATAAGGAAAAATGATGTTAAAATTTAGATTATTATTTATTCAATTATCATTATTTTCAGCTATTACCTTTCATAATTTCCATCCTTCAATGGTTAGATTTACTTATAAATATACTACCTATCCTATCCTGTTGATCACCTTTCCAAAATTCCGTTTGCTTTTATTTTTATTCCGCGATTTCCTTTCCCCGTTTTTAATTTCATATTAATTTCCATAAACCCAACCGAAGTTCCACAACAACAACTGCTACGACAATAATAATTATCCTAAAATCTTAAGAAGCAAGAAAATATTTATTTGGAAGAATTATCAAAAATTTGCAACTGAAAGGCTGGACGCCATAGAGCCAAACTATAAGAGAGAGAAATTTAACTCCGTTATTAGTTATTATTTTTCTCTCATGGCAACAATATAAAAAACAGTCATTTTGGCGCGTCTTTCAATAACTATCATTCAAGTTCGGTGAATGGAGGAGGAGAGAACGCCGTAAATAATTTTTGCAAAATTTGGTTGAGAAATTCCACATAAACGTTTTATGGTGTGTGTAATTATGATATGATAAAATAGGTGCTTATCATACTACTATTGTGAAGTTAGTGCGTCATAATGGCTGTGGAACGAAGGTCTTCGCAGCGGATTTTACCTGCCTTGCTGGGATGTCTGTTCGTAATACATCTAGCGAAATACGTAAGTATTTAGAAATAATTTCATTTTATTGTTCTGCGCTAATAAACATCGTGGAATACTTATACGATTCTAATTGTCAGCAATATTAAATGTAGCAGTATTTGACGATAATGAAACCCACAATAAAACCGTCAAATACTGCTTTTATTTCATCTAAGCCTAATTAGGCTTTGGTGTTGTAAAGTAATTTTTTATGTAGGTAGTTCTATGTATCACTATAATTGAAAACTGAGACAGAGTCAAATAATATTTTCTAATGTGTTTGTAATGATGGTTTGTAGGTGATTGAGGTGTTTAGTAAAATAAACATTATGCAACATTGTTTGCATTGGCTTTAACATAACATAGTGGTTGTCCAATTCTAGAATGGGCTAGTAAATTTTATTAAATATTTGCAGCATTACTAGGAATAGATTTTTTTTGTTATATGTATTCTTTATGTTTGTAATTTCTGTCCTGTTCTTCTATGACCACATGTTATGATATGAGCATTGTGTACACAGAAAATGAAACATAAGATATTGAATATCTACCTGCATATGTTTTTATACAGGCTGCAATGAAAAAGATTATGAATGTTTCCCTATGTGTTTTTAGCTCATTTTAATAATACACATTTCACACAATTTTGATGCATCACTCATACAAATGAATAAATAATAATAATGAATTTTATTATTTATTGAACCCTAATAATAACTTATTATTATTATTAGGGCTCAAGACTTAAGGTACATCACTGCATTGAGCATTTGGTCTATTGTATATGATTATAATTATATGATTTCAGTATTTAAAAAACTTAAGATTTTCTTAATTTCAATTGTTTACATCTGGTTGGGCCATATGTTTGCCAAAGAGGGTGTTTCATATGCCATTAAAGGGTGACATTGGCTTAGTAGGTACAGAGTGTCTCATCTGTTTCATGGCAGAATTTATAGTCTCTATTCTGTTTTATGAATGAACTTGCTATTTTTCACCCTTGTCAGCATTCTAATGCTATTCCTGCTGTATATTAAAGTTCTTTATAGTGTGTGGTGCTTTTGTACATTGTCCTGGGAGATATCTTAACATTGGGCTCAGAGGATGAGAAGACTTAGATGCACATAATATGTACAATTACATCCGCTTACACCAAAATGAGGGCAAGCAATTTAATAGCAATAGGGCTGTGAAATAGTTTGTCCAGAGAACTGCCACTATTCTTGTTTCTACCACTGCATTTTTATGATTTAAAGCTCTCAGTGGCACTGCAACTGGTATGGATAGGAGTGTCGCTTTCCACCGGCCTACGACTTGTTCTTTATTTTTTTTGTTCATCCCTACTTTAGGCATTGGGACTTGTCAACTTTGTGTTTCAGGTTAATGGGAGCATAGGCAGTTCCTCTTAGATCTTTGCGATTTGAGGCTCTAAGTGTCACTGTAACTGTTATATAGGCATGTTGTTTATCAGCAGGTCTGCTACTTGTTTGTCTCATTATATGATACCGTAAAAGAAAATGACTTAATATGTAACATATTTTCTA